CCCCCCACCCCCCCCGGAGGGGCAGCGCAGGCCCGGGGAGGCCTACTCCCCTCCTCCTCCCGGTAAGGCACGGCGGCGGCTCCCGGCCCTTCAGCGCGACATCATCCGCACAAACTCTGCAAAGAACCACAGCGTTAACCCCCAAATGAAGCTGGCAATGGGGGCTCACCAACCCCCCCCCACCCCCCATCGTTGACGCTATCATCCCCCAAATAAAGCCAGGATCGGCCCCCCCTTCACCCTCACCCCCATTACCTTCAAAATCCACCAGGCCGTCCCCGTTGAGATCCACATCCTTGAGGATCTCATCCACTTCGCGGTAGTTGAGCTGCTGCCCCAGCAGCTTCCGCATGGCCTCCCGCAGCTCCGCCATGCTGATCTGCCCGTCCCCATTGGTGTCGAACTGCCCCGGGAGGACCCAGCATCACCACTGTGCTCCCAGCGCTGTGTCCCCCCAGCCCTGCTGTCCACCCCCCTCACCTCGCGGAAGGCGTCGCGCAGCTCCTTGATCCCGATCATGTCCGCCGTCTCCGCCAGCATCTTAGGGCCCATCAGCTCCACAAAGTCGTCGAAATCCACTTTGCCACCTGCTGGGGGACCAAAGCGGGGAGGCAGGTCAGCGGGGGTGGTGCCACCATGCAGGTATGGGGTTCCCCACCCCCCTCCCCCGGCACCTACTGATCTGCTGGGACAGCTCAATGAGCTCCATCTCGGTGGGCATGTAGCCCATGGTGCGCATGCACTCGCCCAGGTCCTTGTAGCTGATGTAGCCATCGCGGTCCTTGTCAAACTCCTTGAAGGCCTGCTTCAGCTCTGGGTGCAGCACAGCGAGAACGGTGACACCCAGGGACCACCACAGAAGTGGGGGCAGGACAAGTGGCGAGGTGAGGATGAAGGGAACAGGCATTCAGACAGGGATTGAGAGGGACAGGTGCTGGGACTGGGACCAGCATGGGGACTGCAGAGAACGAGTGCCAATATGGGGGCTGAGCAGGAAAGGTGGCACACTGAGAACATGGGAACTGGAATAGGGAGCCAGTGGAACAGATGCTGAGATGGAGACTGGGGTGAGGACTGAAGGAAATGAGTGTCAAGATGGGGACCAAGTGGGATGGGTGGCACAATGGGAACTGGGATGGGGACCCAACGGAATGGGTGCTGAGAGGGGGAAGGCTGGGATGGGAATTGATGGGAGTGGGCAGAGAATGGGAACTGGGATGGAGACCAGAATGAAGACTAAGGGGAATGGGTGCTGAGATGGACATTGAAATGGAGACTCAAGGAAACAGGTGTCAAGATGGGGACCAAATGGGATGGATGGCACAATGGGGGTTGAGATGGGGATCCAGTAGAAGAGGTGCTGAGATGGGGAACCAGGATGGGGAACAAGGAGAATGGGTGGTGAGGTGAAGATTGAGTGAGACAAGTTGCAAGATGGAGATACAGCAGAATAAAAGGCACAATGGGGACCAGGGTGGGGACACAGCAGAAGAGGTGCCAAGATGGGGACTGGGATGGGGACTGAGAGGAACAGGTGGTGAGATGGGGACAAAGGGAAATGTGTGGCAAGATGTGGACTGGGATGGGAATTAAGGGGAATGGGTATCAAGACAGGGACCGAGCAGGATAGACTGCACAATGGGGACTGGGATGGACACCCAGTGGAATAGGTGCTGAGATAGGGATTGGGATGAGGACCAAGGGGAATGGGTGGTGAGATGGGAACTGGGATTGGAATGAAGGGGAATGGGTGGTGAGATAGAGGCCAGGATGGGGACTGAGAGGAACAAGTGCTGCGATGGGGACGAAGATAAACAGGTGGAAAGACAGAAACAGGGATGGGAAGTGAGGGGAACAGGTGCTAAGATGGGGACCAGGACAGAAACTGAGGGGATCATGTGGAGAGACAGGGATCAAACGGGATGGGTGGCAAGATGGGAACTGGGATGGGGACCAAGGGGAACGGGTATGGGTGAGACCCTACACCGGAGCAGCACCCCTGGCCCCACAAGGACCCAGCCCAGGGACACATCCCCACACTTCACCTTCGATCTCCTCCGGCCGCAGCTCCCGGTCCTGGCAAAAAGAATGCAGTCTGGAGGATGGCTCCCTCCCCACTGCCACCCCAAATCCATGCCACTGGGCAGCTGTGAGGGCAGTGATCCCAGAGGACCGGGATGCACCCCAGGGGGGTATAACACTCACATACCAGCTGTGTGATGGCAATGCTCTGCCGGAGGAAGATGCACGCCGGCCCCACAAGCCCATGCAGCACTGAGTAGCTCTGCAGCGGTGGTGATTGCGCAGCCTCTGCCAGCTCCTCACCATCCTGGGGACCGGGGGGGCCGGAGCGCTGCTTCCCGTCCTGCAGGCAGAGCCGGAGGGCAGTAGGAAGCCCAGCACAGCCCCCAAACACCCCCCTGCACTTCGGCCTTACCTTGGAGAGCCTTCTCTCAGGGGTCTTGGTACAGTTGCCCATGGCCAGGGGATGCCCAGGCATAACCGGTCCCCCCGGGGGGCCGCCTGGCGCAGTCCTGGGGGGCCGCCGCTCTGGCCCGGCCGCGCCAGGACGGGGTTTTTTTATAGTAACAGAGGCTGCGTGGGGATTTACGGTTTTTATGGAATATCTCGGGATATGCAGGGCAGGGCGGGGGGGCTGCACGCTGCCCGCACACACACACATAATCCCCCGGATTATGCCCTGCTCGGCCACGCCGCTCCAGATGTGGGGGAGCCGCCCAGCTGTTCCCCTTGAGGGGGGACGGTGTTGCTGCCCCGCCCCTGTTACCCCCTCAAGTCCTCCCCATTCCCCCCAATTAGCTGCCCAGCCCCATTACCTGCCTGGAAGTGGGGGGCAGCTGGGGCTCCTCGGTGCTCCGCCGCCCCCCCCCAGCGCTCCGGTGCCCCCGGGGGTTGCGGTGGCCCCGTTTCACCCCCGGAGGGGCTCGGCAGGTGGAGGACAGAGGGCTGCCGGGGGCGCGGCGTTGGGGGCTGCGGATGAACAGGAACATGACGGCTCCTGCCCGGCGCTCAGGGCTCACTACCCTCCCTCCAGGCTCCGAATCCGATCCCCCAGTGCCGGGGTGAGATTGCAGCGGGGAAACAGGATCCGGCGGCCGGGATACACGAGCCGAGACATTGACACCGGACAACGAGACCGTGGGGGCCCGCCGTGGGAGCGCTGCGGGGCCCGGGGGCGGGAGAACCGGGAACCCAGAGCCAGGGCGAGGGCTGCAGGGGTCCCCGAGCACGGGGCCGTGACCTTGGAGCGCGGGGTTGGCCGCGGGAAAGCCGCAGCATCCTCAGAGCCCGGAGCGCGGTGCGAACCCCACCCCCGCCTCCGCGCCCCCTGACCCACGGCCGGCTTCGGTGACGTCATCACAGCGCGCAGCGGCGCTCTCCGATGACGTCACATCCGAGCGACAGGCAGCGGGGGGCGCCTGAAGGTGGCGGCGGAGCGCCATGGCCGCCTGGCAGCTGAGGGCCCTGCGCCGCATCCCCGCCGCCGCCGCCGGCTTCTCGGTAAGTGCTGGACCGACCGCTCAGACCGGTTCCGAGCCCGGGGCAGGGCTGAGCTCCTTCCTTCCCCGCAGACAGCGCCGAAAAAGACGCAGTTCGGCTCTCTGAAGGATGAGGACCGCATCTTCACCAACCTCTACGGGCGGCACGAGTGGAGGTGGGCAGCGGGAACCGGGAGCGTGGGAGAGGAACGGGGGCTGCGGGGGGTGCGGGTGCTCACAGCCGCCGTGCCGTGCCCGCAGGCTGCAGGGAGCGCTGCGGCGGGGCGACTGGTACAAGACGAAGGAGATCCTGCTAAAGGGCGTCGACTGGATCCTGGGTGAGATCAAAGCCTCGGGGCTGAGGGGCCGCGGGGGGGCCGGCTTCCCTACCGGCCTCAAGTGGAGCTTCATGAACAAGCCGCCTGACGGCAGGTAGGCGCTGAGGAGAAGGGGTGGGAAGGGTGAGGATGTGGAGGATGCAGAGAGGATGAGTCTGAGGGGCTGGGGTGATTGGAGACCTAGTGACAGGGATGCTGGAGGGTCAGGGAGGTCGGGAAGGGGCTGAGGGCTGACAGGACTGTTTGGGAACAGGGACGTGGGGAGCAGGGGACACAGGTTGGGAGATGCGAAAGCTGTGACTAGGGACAAAGGAACATTGGGGACGCAGGATTGGGAGTTGGAATAGCAGACAGTGGGACAGGGCGATCTGGGGACACAAGAGCAGGGATTACAGGGGACACCATATGACTAGGAGATGCGGCTGGGGTGATTGGGAACAAAGTGACATTGGGGTGCAGAGTGTACAGGCATAGATAGGGTGGGAGTACAGGCAAAGGAGTGGCAAAGTAATTGGGGTGCTGGGAAGAGAAGGAGATTGGGAGGGGGCTGAGAGGGGATGGGATTACTTGGGGACACCAGGAATGTGGCGGGGACAGGGAGTGGGGAGATGGAACAGAGGGAACACTGGGAACACGGAGATATGGAGCTGGGAGATGGGACAGGATGCTGACACTGACACCGCATCCTGTCAGACCCAAGTACCTGGTAGTGAACGCAGATGAGGGGGAACCAGGCACCTGCAAGGACCGTGAGATCATGCGGCACGACCCACACAAGCTGGTGGAGGGCTGCCTGGTGGCTGGCCGTGCCATGGGCGCCCGTGCCGCCTACATCTACATCCGCGGCGAGTTCTACAATGAGGCCTCCAACCTGCAGGTGGGTGCCACGGACACAGTGAAACGCACATGGGGGACATCCCTGCTGCTATCTGCCTGTTGTCCCCCCTGCAGGTGGCCATCAGAGAAGCATATGAGGCTGGGCTTCTGGGGAAGAATGCCTGTGGTTCTGACTACGCCTTTGATGTCTTCGTGGTGAGGGGTGCCGGGGCGTACATCTGTGGCGAGGAGACAGCACTCATTGAGTCCATTGAGGGCAAGCAGGGCAAGCCACGCCTCAAGCCACCCTTTCCTGCTGACGTGGGTACGTCCTGGAGCCCTTCTGCCCATCTCCGCTCCCCTAATTCCCTCCGGCACCACTCACAGCTTTGATTCCCTACAGGAGTCTTTGGCTGTCCCACCACGGTGGCCAATGTGGAGACGGTGGCTGTGGCCCCCACCATCTGCCGACGTGGTGGTGCCTGGTTTGCTGGCTTTGGGCGCGAGCGCAACTCCGGTACAAAGCTTTTCAACATCTCTGGCCATGTCAACTACCCCTGCACAGTGGAAGAGGAGATGTCAGTGCCATTGAAGGAACTCATTGAGAAGCATGCTGGTAAGCACCACGCTCAAACCCAACAGGATGGTCCTGCCAGGCCCAGCTCAGTTTGTCCCCTCTTTTTTGGCAGGGGGTGTCCGTGGTGGCTGGGACAACCTGCTGGCTGTCATCCCGGGGGGCTCCTCCACCCCACTGCTCCCAAAGTCGGTGTGTGAGACTGTGTTGATGGACTTTGATTCCCTGGTGCAGGCACAGAGCGGGCTTGGCACGGCTGCCGTCATTGTCATGGATAAATCGGTACAGGGTGAGCCCTCCCCAGGCTGCCCCCTGCCCTCAATGAGTGTCCCCTGATTGTCCCCTTCCTCCTCAGACTGACATTGTCAAAGCGATTGCTCGTCTCATCGAGTTCTACAAGCACGAAAGCTGTGGGCAGTGCACCCCGTGCCGGGAAGGTGAGTGTGGGACTGTGGCACAGGGTCTATCACTGCATCACAGGGCCTGTCACCGCGTCCCTGTCCCCACAGGTGTTGACTGGATGAACAAGGTGATGGCACGCTTCGTGCGGGGAGACGCACAGACAGCTGAGATCGATGCACTGTGGGAGATCAGCAAGCAGATTGAGGGCCACACCATCTGTGCACTGGGTGATGGTGCCGCGTGGCCAGTGCAGGTAAGTGCAGGGCTTTGGGATGGCAGCAGGACCTCGGGGGCTTAGCCCTCAGCCTCACTGACTCCACTTTGTTTGCTCAACCCAGGGCCTCATCCGCCACTTTCGGCCAGAGCTGGAGGACAGGATGCGACGCTTTGGAGAGGCCAAAGCACGAGCAGCCTCAGCATGAGGAGGTCGGGTTGATGGCAGCAGTGGCACCACAATTTGCTGTTCCCAGTGGGTTCTAGCCCACTCTTGGGGCTCCTTAATAAACACTGCTGTAACTGAAGTGGCTCAAAACATGGCTTTTTACTAAAATCATAACATGAAACATCAACCATGGGTGCAGTGGTGCAGAGAAGGGGACAGTGGTGAAACCATGCCACCCTCCACCCCAAAACCTTCCAGCCCAAAACCCCTCACCCTCAGAGCTTCGGTTCCTTCCAATATGCAGCTCAAGCCCTTTTTTGGGGAGCAGTGATGCCACGGCCAGGTACGTGGGTCTTTCTGCAGTACAAGTCGGGCGCCAGCAGCTCCAGTGTCAGCTCAGTGATGATGGCTGTCAGCCCCCAGATGCGGTGGGGGCCGTTGAGGAAGACAGGCAGAGTGTAGCCGTAGCGACCGGCAGTGCGGAAGTGGGTGTAGCCCTGGTTCTCTTCCTGCAGGAGGTGCTCCAGAGGCAGCGTGAAGACCTCTGCCACCTGCAGAGGCAGGAAGAGGGTTGGGGGACGCACATGGGTGGCAGCAGGAAAGGGGACAAAGGGTAGAGGGTCACCCACCTCGTCAGGGTTTGGGGACAGCGTCAGGTCCTCTAGAGGTCCCAGGTTGGCCACCACAGGGACCACAAGCATCCCGTGCTGGCAGGGAGCATGTGGCAGAAAGACAGGGTGACAAACGCCACTGTGCTGCAGCCACCTCACTTCCCCATCCCCACATGTCCTATCCCAAACCCTCAGCCTCTGCCCACTATGTCCCTGCCGCCCTATCCCCAGCCACCCCATGCCCATCCATGTTTCTCCCCCGCTGACCACATCCTGTCACCCCGTTCCCAGTTCCTGCTGTCCCACCTCCCAGCCTCCCAGCCCCATCCTCCCTGAGCCCCAGTGTCCCTGTCCCCAGACACTCCATCCCTGTATCCCCACCAACTTTACCAATCTTTACCAGGGCAGCCTGGTCTAGCATTAAATGAGGCGGTTGGTGGCCCTGCATGTGGCAGGGGGGTTGGAGATTCATGATCCTTGAGGTCCCTTCCAACCCTGGTCATTCTGTGATTCTGAGATTCTGTGATCTCACTGTGTCCCCAGCGTCCCTGTTACCTTGGCTCCAGTCACCTCTGTTCCATTTCCCAGCCACACGGTGTCCCCAGTGCCCCCAATTACACTTTCTTCCCAATTACCCCACCCCATCTCCCAGCCCTGTGTCCCACAATCCCCATGTCCCTGTCACGTCCCCAGAAGTGCTTGTAACTCCACCACACCGCCTGTGTCCCTGTGCTGTTCCAGATGTCACCCTGTTGACAGTGATAGACACGGGGACTGTTCTCAGCTTATCACTGCCAGCCCCGAGCTCAACATCAAAACTCTCTCTAGCACAGACACGTCCTATGTGCTCGTTCTGTCCCCATGTTCCTTTGCCATCTCTGTATTTTTCCAAATTTTCCCCACATTGTCCCCATGTCTCAGCGTTGTCCTCATCACCATTCTGTCCCCACATCTCTATTCAGTCCACAATGCCCTCCTGTATATTATGCCACCATTCTGTACCCAACATCCCCATGCTCCATTGCAGTTCCCACGTCCCCAATTTATCCCCACATCCCCATTCTGCCCTTCGTGTCCCCGCACTGACCCTGTCCCCATTCCGCCCCTATGCACTGTACCCACCCTTCATTCTGTCCACGCCCCCATGTCCCTGTGCTGTCTGCACGTCCCTGTTTTGTCCCATGTCCCCGTTCTGTCCCTATGTCTGCGCTATCCCCACGGTCCCGGTGCCGTCCCTCCGTCCCCGTGCCCCTTGATCCCCATTCTGTTCCCACGTCCCACTGCTGCCGTTCTATCCGCCTTTGTGTCCCCGCTCCGTACCCTCTCGGGCAGCCCTCGCAGCCGCCCCCAGACGCTCTCCTCCCGCAGGTTCAGCCCCAGCTCCTCCCGCGCCTCTCGCAGCGCGGTGCCCTCCGCTCCGCCGTCCGCCGCCTCCCGTTTCCCCCCGGGGAAGCTGCAACGGGGGGGAGCCGGCGCTGCGGCAGGGCCGGTAGGAGGGACCCGCACTCCATGACCCCCCCCCTCCTTCTTCCCTCTCACTACCTCACATCGCCGCCGTAGGGCCCGCGCAGACGGCTGCAGCGCAGCGTATAGAGCAGCGCGGGGCGGCCCCGCACGGAGCACAGCGGCACCAGCACGGCCGCCCCCGCCTCCGCGCCTCCCCCCGCCCCCCCTTCCGCCAGCAGCCGCCGGCACCGCCGCTCCGTGCCCCCGCACAGCGTCACTCGGTGCGGAACTCCCCGCGCCCAGCTGGCCACCCGCATGGCTGCACCGCTCCGGGGCGGAGGGAGGGACGGACGGACCGCCCCCCGGGGCTGCAGCGCTCCCAGCGGCTGTGCGAAGTGATTATGGGGCGTGCGGTGCCCCAGCTAAGCGAGCAACGCGGTCACGAAGTGTACAGCTTTACAGCTGGGCGTGCAGCACTCCCGCTGGGTACACAATCCCATAGCCAGGCGTGCAGCCCGCACACCGGGGCTGTAACACTGCCAGCAAGGGTGCAACCTTGGCACTGGGTGTGCAGCTTGATCACTGGGACTACACCTCCCCTGCAGGGTGTGCAACCCCATGAGCAGGTGTGATACGCTGCTGCAGGATGTACAACTGGGACATGAGGACTGCAGCAACCCTGCTGGGCATGCAGCCCTACCAACAATCCTAATGTGTGCCTGAACCCATTCGGATTGTTAGTTCACTCCTGAACACTCCTGCCCCACAGCCTTGGCACAGTGTGTGCAAGCCTCCTTGGAATGCTGGAGGTCAGGCAGGCAGGGCAGGGCAAGGTAAGGTAGGACAGGGTCGTCCCCCCAAAAAAGCCCACAGCCCCACAATAAACACTCTCACACAGATATTTTCATCGCTCAAAATTAAATGATTAAAAAAAAAAAAAAAAAAGTATAGAAATCACCACTCTCTCATAATTCTTTCTCAGTAGAGACTAGCATGGGTTTACAGCTGCGCTCCCGCCTTCAGCGGAACCTCCTCTCATCCCACACATATCGCTTTCCTGCGGGCACCTTGCGGAAAAACAAGCTGTTCCCTCGGCTCATGTTGCCCTGAAACAGAATGAGTATCAGCCTGGGGGTCTTTCAGGGCTGCCCTCAGCCCCATAGCAGCCCTATAGTGGCAGAGTATTGTGGCACTTACTTCCTTGTGCAGCTGGCTCCAGCAGTCCAGCCAGGAGGAGTAGGTGGGTGCATAGGGGAGCAGGCCCCCAGCTAGCCTGGTAAGGAGAGGACAGTGTTATTTCCACCCAGGGGCAATGTAGGACCCATCATTCCCCAGCCCTGCACAGGGCTGAGCTCCATCTATAACACTGCTGAGGCTCCAGGTCCCACCCCGCACCTCCCCACGGATGCGCCTGCTCAGCCCTGGGGGGTTGGAAACCATTCTTGCCCTTTGGGAGCTTCCTTTGGGAACATCTCACGTGGATCACACGCACACGTGGCGAGTGTGGGAGACGAGGGAGGTGGTGGTGGCAGTGCGCTCACCCGCAGTTATTGACAGCCATCAGGTTGGAGACCAGCACAAAGGGGTATGTCAGCATGCTGGCGAAGAACTGCAAGGCAGAGCAGGGCTGCTCAGTGGGAAACATCATGAGCATGCCAACACATGCCTGTGCATTGTACTCACCCCAGTGACTGCCTGTGAGTAGCTCTTCATCTCTGTCACAGAGACCTGGGGGGAGGAAGGCACTGTGAGGTCCACCTGAAGCGGGGACCTGAGCATTCCCTGAGACTGTGATCACCCCCAGCCTGGCACAGAGCCCATACCCCGTTCTCCAGCGCATATGTGTTGATGAGGTAGGCCAGCATGTTGCAGAGCCAGAGTGAGAGGATGTCTCCGAGGAGCCGGGGAACAAGGCCGCTGGAAGGGAAGAGGCAGAGTGTTTAGGAACAGGAGACAGCAGATCTTCACTCAATGGAAGAGCTCACAGCCTCAGGAATGTGGATATTCAGGAAATAATGGGAGGGTCAAGCATGGTTTTATGGTTCCCCAGGCACCAAACAAAAGCCACACAACAGATTACACAAGGAAGATGTGGGTGCTCCATCTCTGCTGCCCAAGGCCAGCCTCAATGGGTCCCTGGGCAGCATGATCTGCCAGGAGGCTTTGTGGTCCCTTCCAACCCAATCATTTAGTGGTTCTATGAACACAGGGCAGGCACTGTGACTACAAGCCATTAGCTTGCCCAGGGAGTCCATCTTTTTGGTACCATGTACCAAAATGAAGACAGAGCACTATGAAGAATGGTGAGCGAGTACATGGGAAAACAAAGCAAGGAGCAATGCCCAAGGTCTGTGGGTTTAGTGGAAAGACTCCCATTGCCCCAAACCCACAGCACTCACGCAAAGAACCCCAGGATGCCTTCTTCTCGGTAAATCGTGGCGAAGGCGCTTAGTGTTCCGCTGTGCCAGGAAGAAGAGGAGAGGGCACTGGTCACACAAAGCAGAGTCATGGGGACATGGCATCCTGTGGCTGCCCCCCTACCTGTACTTGGTCTCCCTGCCGATGAACTGCACCATGCATCGCAGGGTGATCACTGTGGGCAGAGCTGAGATCAGCGTGGCACAGTGGGATGGCTCTGAAGCTGTCACCATGATGCCCACGGAGCCAGAGTGGTGGTTACAGACAACTGCAGGGGTACGTACCGTGGAAGGGGTGGGTAATTAGGGTGGCAGCAGAGCGAGCAACCATCTCTCGGGAAGTCTGGAGGAGAGAAGAGCTGTCAGAGGCAGGGAGGGAGGGTAGGGGGGAACCCTGCAGCACCCTCCTTCCTCTCACCTCCTTCAGCACCTGCTCCAGTGAGGACACAGGCTCCTTCTTGCTGGCTCCTGGCTGGAGAGAGACAAAAGCATGAGGCAAGCCCTTGAAATACACACCTATCCTAAAAGCCCCCACGTACCTCAGCCTTCTCAGCCTCCTGGTACCGCTGTGGAGAGAAGCACACGGTCAGGAGTGACCCACCAGCAGCTGCAAACGAAGGCACACAGGGGGCACAGTACCTGCAGCACTTTGCCATGCACCACGGTGCCAATGGCGCTGGAGCAGAGACGGGGGGCGAGGCCCTTGAAAAGCCCCGCTCTGCCATCCACTTTCACGATATGCTTGGCTGGAGGAGAGACGGGCAGCGTCAGAGCCTCACCGTGTGCCCACAGCACCCAGACGGGGCTGCGCTGTGGAACTCACCATAGGCAAAGAGGCCTGGAAGCTGATAGACCTGGCGGCCGAAGATGTTTCTGCCCAGGGTGGGCGGCAGCGGTTCGTATCCCACCTGCGGGGCGAGAGCACGGACGGTCCCCACGGCCCCCTCGGGCCCACTCTCTGTGCAATCCCCCGAAGTCCCCCATACCGCTGCGCTATGCCACAGCCGAGCACCGCCGCCCCCGGCGGCCCCTTACCTGCACCAGCACCTTCACGTACATGAGAGGCTGCGAGAGCACGGTCAGCCCCGAGCCCAGAAGCACCTGCGAAGCCTCGTCCGCCATGCTGCCGCCCCGGCGCCACGGCCCAAAGGACACCTCCACCGCTTCCGCTTCCGCCTTGCTGCGACTTCCGGCGCGCTCTCAGCCCACTTCCGGTCTGGTCGCCGTGGCAACGCGGCCTGCACCTCGCATGTGGCCTAAGGTGCGGCGTCGAGGCCTGCAGGCCCGAGCTGTCGCCACGGCGACGGGGCCTGAGGTGACACCATGGCAGCTGGCCCTCGGGAGCCCGTCTCCCCCCGTGTGACACGGTGCGACACAAACACGTACAGCCACAACAAAGCTGCCTTTAATGGCGAGTGCAGGCGGAGCAGCGCGCCGCTGTGAGGCTGGGCCGCCTCCCGTAGCCAGCAGCAGTGGCCACGCGCAGGGACAGCCCCGCTCTGGTGCTCCGTGAGGAAGGCCTCACTCTGCCTTCCCGTGAGGAAGCAGTGCCTGTGCTGGTGGTGGTGGCAGCAGTGGCACTCCGTGGTGCGCCGTGGTGCCCTGTGGTTGTCACATATCCCTCCATCTGTGTGGCTCTCGCAGAGGTGTGGTGGTGGCATACTGCTGTATGTGCAGTGGGCACAGCTCCGTGCAACTTCTCTGCTGCCCCACAGCCTCTTCGTGTGGGGACAGATGGGGGCATGGGGGACCACGACTGTGTCTGCTGGGGCACAAAAGTGGGGCTGCGGGCACTCCAAGTCCCACTGTGGCAGGCAGAGGCACACTGAGCCACGCTCACCCGGTCACCACCATGACTCCTTTGGGTGCCATTGGGCCTGTACATGGCATTCCTCACTCTGTGACTCCGTAACCGCTTCTTCCTCCTCAGCTGCAACTGGCCAGGTGCCACTCTGGCACCTTGTCCCTTCTGTCCACAGGGGCTCTCCCTCCTCTCCAGGGACCCATCGGACACAGAGCTATCAGAGCCGCTGGTGCTGTGTGAGGGAGAATACAACTGCAGCCACTGCCACAGTCACTGTTCCCACAGATGGCACCACCTGGACACACCTGGACTCCAGCTGTGAGGTGGGGACGTCACTCCAGCTCTGACCAGAGCCCAGCCGTGGCCGCAGCAGTGCATCCACCTCCGCCAGGCACTGCTGGAACTGTGTGATGGAACCAGTGTCATTGTCATTGCTGTGTGGGGCTGCTGCAGGCTGCAATCACCCACCCACCTTGGCTGGATTGGGGTCACAGAAGTCTAGCAGCGTGTCGCAGAAGTGATAGCCCAAGGATTTGAGGTCCTCCACTGTGAAGTGTGAGTTCCTCCCACCTGAGGGGGAGATAGGACAACAAAATAAGCGGCTGCATCCATCACCAGGCCCCAGAGCCTGTCCTTAGGGCTGGAATTGTGTTTCTGAGTGATTCCATCCCCAGCGCTGTCCCTCACCCAATGTGGAGCCACCAAAGGCCACCTCTAAGGTGTAGCTGTTGGCAATGCCCATTCGCCACATGACCACCCTGCCCGTCCCCTCCTTGCTCTTCTGCACCTTGAACTTGCAGCTGGAGAAGGAGAACTGCAGCCCCGTGGAGGCACCATGACAGCAACCAACGTCACCATGATGCTGCCCAGTGCAGATCACCAGATGCCAAGCCCACCTTGTCAGGTGCGTTTTTGCTTAGCATCAGTGGGAAGATGCGCTCCTGGAACCGTGTCTCAGAGCCATCCCGACCACCATCGCAGCCATACATGAAGACGTTGTTCTTGCGGCTGTGTCCGTGGAAATCACAGTACAGCACCACGTCCCGCTCCACCAAGAGCCTGCAGGAACCTGTCAGGATACAGCAGCCAACACCCCACTGCTGCCCGTGCACCGCTGGCCTCACCTCTCCACCATGGCCCGCAGGTGCCAGATGGCCGGGAAGGAGCCCCGAGATCCAGTCCTGTAGGCTCGATTGGGGTCACGGCCAGCCAGAGAGCAGCGGGAGTTGCCCACCACCACCCCATCGGGGTTGAGCATGGGCACCACCTTGAAAACAAAGAGCTGGCGCAGGAGCTGAGCGTCAGGAGCAGCGCTGAGGATGAAATCGAGGAAACCCTGCATGGCCCAGGAGCCACCGCTTTCCCCAGGGTGCACACGGGCGCTCAGCACCACCGTCCGCTTGGCTGCACCGCTGGACGGCGCAGTGATGGTGAGCATATAGACGATGTTACCGGCCAGGCTGCGGCACAGTGCCCGCACCACACAGTACTGTGAGCGTGCTGGATCACCCATCACCGTCCACAGGTACCGCTGCAGGTCTGAGTAGGTGTAGGGGTAGGAGTGGGCAAAGTAGCACATGTCACTGTCATGGGGAAAGCAGCTGCTCCAGGACAGGCAGAAGGCAGCTGGCTCCTCCCCGCTGTTCCCTCGGTAGTAGCGGATGTTGGTGCCGATGCGGCGCCAGCCAATGCCATGGCTCTGGGCATCCTTCTGTGAGTAGAACAGTGGGCACATGCCCTTGCCATAGAGGCTCTTGGGCTTCGCCAGGTTGGCAATGGTGAAACAGTACATGGTGTCTTTCCGTGTGTTTTGCACACGGAAGTAGAACCACTGGGTGTGCTTGGCGGTGTACAGGTCTGGCCGCAGTGTCAGCACATACTCATAGGGGCCCCTGGTGGGCAGAAGGGCCACACTTTGGCACCTGGGCATGCCACTGTGTCCCATTGCCCATCCCCATCACCACTCTTACACCTTGACTGCTTTCTGGAGGTTGCCACACTCAAAGCGCGACTCAAACAGCAGCGTGTTGTCCTGGGAGCCCTCCAGGGTGGCTGCTGGTGAGGAAAGGGGGCCTGGGGCCCCCCCAGCCCGAGCGCGGGTGAAGCAGGAACCTGAGGGCACTGGGAACAGCTGGGCTTAGCACCCCAGCGATAGCACAGGGATGAGGAGGGGGTGAGCAGCATTCTTGGGCACTACCTGGGCTGAGCTGGTAGACAACGGTGCCCTGCTGCTCACCCCTTGGTAGCCAGTGGTGATCCATGGGTTGGCAGAAGGGTTCTGGTTCAGGGGGGATCCACTCTGGGGAGGGATGGAGACACACCCCATTATCATCACAGTGGTTGGTCATGGGGACAAGGATAGGAGAGTGCTACCTCACCGATGTGTTTGATGGTCTCCTTGATGACCTCGCACTCAATGGGCCACTGGGGAGCAGGAAGGGGTCCTCGTGCTGAGGGAAGGGCAAAGAGAGCCCTTGGCTCCCTGAGTGACCCATAGTCCTGCAAGGGGACCATCTGCAGGGCCTGCAGATGGGGGCTGCAGAAGGGGGCTGCAGAACGGGCTGAGGAGTTCCCAGCCCCATGGTGCAGTTCCAGCAGAGAACAGACAGCACGGGCTGGAAAGGTTGGAGACAACACTCCTGGTGTCAACCCCAAAGCACCTGTCACCTCACCAGGAGTGCTGCAGCCTGGTGCTGGGGGTTTTACTCACAGTTTGGGTCCTTCCCCACCCCCTGCTGGGTGCCAGAGTCAGAACAGTGGTATTTGGTGTGTCCCCATGGAGACACGGAGCTCTGCTGTCTGTCTGTCTTCTGGCCTTTGGGAGAGCATTGCTGGAGCCCAACCAGGGGGTCCCCACAGCCCGGGGCACAAGAAGGTGACATGCAGCTCACCTTGGAAGTAGCCGTAGTAGCACAGGTGGCCGTGCATGAAGCTGTCGTAGGGCTCAGGGACAGCCTGGGCAGAACGGTGCAATCAGGCCCTGCTCACTCCCAGGGCTGGCAGCCACCAGTCCTCCTCCCAACCCCCCTGGCAGCCCCCAACCTGGGCAGCAGGGTGCCTCAGGAGCCACATTGCTTCGAGAGGCACTCAACCCACTCCTGTCCCCTTCTCCTGTTCCCAGACGCGGTTGCTCAGTGACCGCTGGCAGAGGGGAAGGATGGGGCGGTCCCATAGTGAAGCTGGGAAAGGAGCCAGAGGGACTCTGTTGTTCACCCTGCCCTGGTGAACACCAAGGGGAGCAGTGCCATGGCAGGGCCCTCAGTTCCATACTGCAGGTGGCACTCCAGCCCCAGCCCACAGTGTCACCCCAGTGAACCCCAGATGTCCCTCTTGCCATTCAAGCAGACAGCACATCCCAAACTGCTACAATTTATTGGACAACAGTTGAGTCATAAAGGGCTCCAAACTGTACAACTGTAAAAAACAGCGCCGCGTGTACGCTTCATGTGCTAGATGCAGTTTTCCTCCGTTTCAGCCGTGCTCTCCAGTCCTCTGGCAGCGCTTCAAAGTTGGCGTTCCTCTCCGCCATGCCACTGCAGGGACAAAGCAGGGTGTCAGCACTCAGGTGGTGCAAAGGGATACTCTCCCCACCACTCTCTCCCCCAGTCAGAGACTCCAGATCACACTCCCTGCCTCTAAGGGGGATGAGGAGATGGCTCTTGACAGCAGTGCTCCATGACAAAGCTTCTGTGTCCATACCTGAGCAGCTGTTGCTGCTTCCACTCCTCAATGCGCCTCTGCGCCGTTGTCTCCCGGTCCTCCTCACTGGAGCTGGAGTTCTCCTCCTCATCAAGCTCCCGCTGGATGCTCTGCCACTTCTTAACCAGTGATGGCATCTTTGTTTTGCCCTTCTTGCTCTGCAAAGGAATTAAAACGGGCTGCAGTTAGGCACATCATCAAGACAGCAGGCACACACCCCCAGGAGCATTCTCCTACCTTCTCCTTTCTCCCCTTCCTTGGCTTTTCAGGTTTATCTGGCGGCGGTGGTGCTTTGGGTGTGGGAGGTGGAGGTGTCTGGGGTGGAGGTGGGGGAGGTGGATGCTCAGCAGTGCTGGTGGCAGGCAGGGAGCCGCGTGCTGGGGCTGGTGGCACAGCAGCAAGGCCAGCAGGCATGGCGCACTCGGAGTAACTCATGACGGATGGTGCAGCGGGTGCTGTCACACCTAAGTAGCTGGGCTGTATGGCCATGCTGGATGGCTGGGGGACAGCATGTCCTGGTGGCAGGCGGAGGTTGGCACGGCTCTGCATCTCGCTCTGCAGGCGCTGGCGTGGCCTCAGGGAGGTGAGGGGCACAGGCGAAGGCTGGTACTTGCCAGCGGCCATCAAGGGCTGGCTGTAGATGACAGGGCAGCTGCCGATGGTGGCCGT